TAATGAACCACATCAGACTTGTGTGCTTTTTGTTTTCCTTTTCAAAGAGTACCACCTAGGCTTGGAATTATTTTCTACTTTGTAAAAGTAGTACCAAACATTATGAATACAGAACAAGGAGGCAGCTGAATGCATATCTTGTACCTTGATCACATTGGGCCAGTCTCGCACAAGGCAGCCTGCATGAGCAGGGATTCAAGCAAGTGATCAGATGCTAACATTCAAGTTGCTGCCAGCCATGAGCGGAGCTGTGACACACCACAGCCTGCCATGCTGCACTTTGCACCCAGCACAGTTGGTATCAATGCTTTTGGTCTACAATACTCAGGGGCAGCTGCCACCTGGGGAAGGAGAGGGGGACAGGCACACCAAGAAAGATTAGGTGAATTAGAACAGTCTCACTGCGCCTCATAAGGTTGGCCTACCAGGATTAAGATGACACTTCTATATCCAAAAGGTGAGAAACAAGTTTAGCTTTCAGTCTTAGATTCTCTACATTGTTAATAATAGTTTGTTTTTCCTGTGAGTCTATCATGTAATATCTTTGTCATAAATCAAAGAAATCATTCTAAACATCCTTCTAAACTCAGCTTTCTACCTGAGAGTCAATAGAAGACTGTAGCTTTGTCACTAGTTCCACAATATTATCATATGAGGAAAGTCATTTGAAGTACTAATGCACCTCTAAAAAAAGAAAAAAATACATGTCTTCCCCATTAGCTTTCTGGAAATTGAATATGAAAGTATGAGAAAGCTTGAGGAACAGGAGCCTGAAAAGGCTTTACTTAGGAACAAAATAAGGACTAGAAATGGGGAAGTCAAATACACATAATGATTCAAGACTGAAAAACAACTCTATCATAATAGTACAAGAAACATGAAGAACAAGAACTAGCTGAGGGAGTTTTATTTACTTTGATATATGCCTAACATCTAAGGAGAGCATCTAAAAAAGAGAACAAGTTTAGGAGAAGCAAACAGAACAAACACCTAGGACTGAGACAAACTCGCTTTTTTATAAACTGTTTCATACTCAACAATAATAACTGCTGTCCTAAGTACCTCAGAACACATGCAAACCCCACTCAATTTCCAGAAAAACAGCAGAGGAAGATGAATTAGCATTATAGATAACTGAAATTAAAACATTTGTTAAAACATTTGTTAATATCTCAAGCCAAAAGTTATCACCACATTCCATGTGGTGAAGAGAAACTAATTCTCTGAAGAGAAACTGAATATTCTACTGCACTAAGACATAGAAATTATATATTCCTACAACAACTATGTATTACATAGAAATGGTCCTGTGAATTTTGTTCAGACGTTCAACAAAAGTTTATTTTCTACTGAAGATGCTGCTATTTGAGAAAGCTGGTCTTCCAGGACAAACCTTAAAAGGTTTTCTATTGGGCTAATACAAAAAAGCAACAAAGAAAAGTTATTCTGATTAGAATAACTTTGATGGCCAAAACAAGAAGTATTGAATATGGAGTCCTTTTTGTCCTTACCAAAAAATACTGTAGCTCTTTGGATAAACAACAGTTCTCAGGGAAAATGAGATGAAAAGAAAAAAGGACAGTTTCTCGGTCAGATTATAGCTCCCAAAATCTTTCTAGAAAGGAATATAAAGTATAAACACTACCCTCCTATCAGGAAATGAAAGTTAGAATAATCTTCAAACTTGGAATGTAGTTACTACAATAAACTGATTTATAAAAATAAGATTGATGAGTTTAAAAAGACTAAATTTGACAGCTTTAAGTGTTAACCCAGTATCTCTGAAGTAATATGCTGCCTCAGGAGGGAGAGATTGGGTAGAGGAAAATAAGCAGGAGACGAAATGCAAGGAAACCAAGAAACAAGTGACCTATCCAAATTATCTCTGATAGCAGATGCTGCTAACAGATGCTCTCACATTATGCTCAAAGTACAGCTGTGAGAACCAGAAATAGATACCAAAGATGCTAAGCCCAAAAAGATACATCCCTTGTACCTCAAAAAGAGATACCTGAGATACCATTCTAGGCTGATAAAGTACGTTTCTTCCAATAAACTCTGCATTATAAAGCAATGCAAGTGTACTCTAAGCATTTTTGCTTAGGCAGTTAATTTTAAGGCTTCACAAGTGTTGTCAGAAAATAGTATCAGGGACTATTAACAGATGGACTAGCCCTAAGAAAGAATTTATTCACATCATAATGTTAGCATGATGACAGTTACTTTGTCTTGTCTCATTTACCTTAACTAGTTTCCAGTTAATGGTATTGTACAGAGCAGAGTAAAAGCTAAGTGAAGAGAAAAAAACAAATAGGAAAACAAAAGCATTTTGAACTGCCCAAGAAATTCTACATTACAATCAATAAGGAATCACAATTGACTTTAATATATCACAGGTCAATTCTCATTGCTCTTTGAATTTTTTGCTCCCGATGTAGGCTCAGCATTTACATGCCACAAATTATCAAAGTTTGAGAAAAAACATTCTTTCAAATATTTGTATCTGATCAGAAGTAAATCTAATAGCTAGATAAGAGAGGATAAACTCTTGGAAGTATAAATAGCCTAGCGGAAAGTACAGATTTCTGGTGCACTGCACTCCATTTTTCAAAGTAGCATCTGTCTTGGGTCTCATTAATTTAAGGTTCCACCACCTGCAAGAGTACAGTTATAGTAAGGAAGATACCATCTATGTCACTCTAACCTCTTCCCAGACTCCAGTCTTTTGATTTAGTGAAATATGCTAGTGCTGATACCTCCTATAGTCTTTACCAGTAATGAGAAAATTAGCAGTGAGGTTCTCAGCCTTCCAATGCAGCTTATAATTCTAAATACCAGTGATTGATTGTCTTCACATTGCTACTAGGCAAAACTATAATGAACTGGGCTCATAAAGGCAAAGAGAATTTATGCAACCTTCAGTGGGTCATCACCAAAGCAATAACTTTTAATAACTTTAAGTTTTAATTCTACAAAGTATTGACAGTTAGGACCCCACGCTGTAGAAGGATTCCTAAATAAATCATTGCAAGCTCTTAGGCTGGAATAACTTGATCATGAATTTTGGTCTTCCTTGTAGTCTTTACATATAAAAACTTTTAAAAACCATCCACTTTGTGATAAAACTTGACAACAATGAGAACAAGTGACTACAAAATATATTTTCATGGAAAAAATATAACTAACTGCCTTGAAACATTTTAAGCTAGTTATCAACAAAAGAATTCAACAGGTTTTTGAACTCAATACCTCTTTTCCTATAAATAAATGTCATCATAGGTCAAGGTTACCAAAACATAGCATTGACTTTTTTCCCCAAACTGGGGAAACATTTTTAAAACACCACTAGAATGCTAAAGCTCAGGAGAGCTAGGTGCTTGAAAATGGGATTTTAAAATGGCGTGCAGCACAAGCTACACATTAACCAAGTCCCCTAAGCCAAGCAACAGAAAAGACACTGAGGCTATTTCTTAAATCCTACATCTCTTAGATTCTTAACTGTCTGCAGCAAAAGAGAAGACTGAATCCATAGCCTAAACACTTCTCCTGGAGGTAAGCACTCAAGTTATTCATTGCAAAAAATAAAGCAATCACTCTTTCAAGTCCCTGTATTTCCAGTGCTTACTGCAAAGCTAGGACAAGTTTAAGTCTCAGGCTATTTTATCACTTTCCAAACTGCTTGGCAACACAACATTGTCAACAGCTGCCACAGGAAATAAAACTTTCAAGTTGAAATGGTCAAATCTGCAGCAAGTAACCAACCCTGACCAGGAGGGGGCAGGTGTACAAAGAGCATGTTTTAATATTTGACACCTCATGACTCACTCTAGTTTAAGTACCACCTCAAAACAAAGCCCAGATCTGCTATATGAATTGACCAGGTCCAATAGGATGACTGCACATCAGCTTGCACATACTAGCACATGTAGACTGCCTGAATAACTTCTGTATTTATTAGAGACTTAAGAGCCCAGATAAAACAGGAAATCTTTCCCCATGCACACATACATGCATGTTTTGTTATTACTGCTTTAAGACTCAAGGAGCTTGTTTTGGACTTCTACCGATTTCTCTTTCAGAGTGTCTTAACATGTAGATAACACTCAGTCCATGCTCCCTGAAAGGAGAGATATCATACCCACAGCCAGTCCCTGGCAGTACTACAGCTTTCAGTGATTGCTTCTAGAGGCTAGCAGCACAAAACTTACCAAGTTTCTTACTTGTACCTTAAGGTTAACAGGAGACTTCCAGTGAATTAAGGTGTCTAACAAGCTCTCAGCCTGGTTACCAATTCCAATTCTTATTTGTTACCTTAGTAAGCCAGGTAAATTAATCCAAACTAAGACTCCCAAACCAAGATAACTTGCCCACGTGTAAATTACATCTTGCTTCCAAGTATCTCTTGCCTCCTTCTCCTGTCTCTCACAGGAAGTGGTTCAGTAAAACCACTTCTCTAGACTTGTCTAAATAAAATGCATCTTCATTTTTGAACAAACAGAAGTCACACAAAATCAAACGATTTCACATAACTACATGCGGCATATGTACCAAAACTAATATCACTGGAAAATAAAGCTGAATAAGTGACCAGGAATGACAAAACTGTCATGAAAATGCCATGAAAACCAAACCTGCATTTCTCTACTTGCAGCAATGTCATCTAGTCAGAAAAGTGCTGGAGGGGGAACGCTCCCTACCTTTCCTTCTGACAGTTCCATATTGCAGTAAAGACTTAAGACTGATATGGGCAAAAGAGACTAACTTGTTGAGTTCCAGAATCCAGGCAATCTTCTGTGAGCACTGCTTTCACTGCTGAGAACTGCTTATGTACCTTCCTAGAAACAACCACTGAATGAAACACATAAGCAGTCTTCAAAGGAAAGACAAGGGAAGAACTCTCCCCCCTGTAAAATACAGGGCTGCACCTGTTCCACATGTATTACTCACAATAAGCAGAGTCAATTATAATTACAGCCTGAGTGAATGCAGTCTTCAGCTTTTATATTCATACAATAAATTGTTAGATTTTTTCCTCCGGAATCTGTGGAAGATGTCAACATGATTAATTCATTAGTAGATAAGTCTCCAGTGGAATTCTTACTTTATTCCATTTGTCCTTTATTTCAGAATTCCCCCAATAACTTCAAAAAACTGCACTATAGATAAAGCAGCTGATTCTACTGCTCTGCCTATTCATATAAAAGTTGTTATAAACAGAACAGATGGGAGCTGCATAATGCCAGTTATCACTACAGAATGCACCACAGAAGCATTCGCATGCACAAGGATGGCATGCATTATTCTTTCTTCTCATGCATTCAATATCAGTTGCCACTAGGCATTCAGGAGGGAGGAAAAAAAAGTAAGGCCGGAGATTTGGCACCTTCCACAGGGCACAAAAAAAGAAAATCAGTTTTGTCTGCAGCATAAAACCTGCACAAACCAACTACAAAAACAGCCTATACATTACAGCCTGACCTCAGCAGCCTTCAGCCACAATTAGCTCGCTCCCCTGAACTAACTGCTCAGAGCTCCTACCCCATTAGCACCTCAGGGCACTGAGACCAGCTCAGCCATCAGGGTGGAGACCTCAGTTCCAGGCCCCCCCTTCCCCCTCCAAGCCAGGCACCAGGGCCAGGCCCACCTTCCCCTCCTGCACCCACAGCACCAGGGCTGCCTTCCTTCCCTCACTGCACATCTTGGGAGGGGGAGCAGTGCTGCCGCAAAAGCCACATTCCCTGTGTCAGCTTTCAATGAAGTGCAATGCTTTTGAATAAAGCTTGGAAAAAACCAAACCCCCAGAAACCCACAAAAGTAAACAGGTATTACATAAGCATAACAAGTTTACTAAACATGGCTTGCTTTTATGAAACGAGCCTAACTTTGACAGCCTGTTTTCCAGGCAAAAGAAATACTGTGCCTAGATCTCAGTAAAACATTTGGTATCTCTTGTTTAATGGAAAGCATCAATTTAACAATGATCAGGCTCAGTACGACACAGTAAGTGTAAATGGGGAGAACAGAAGGGAACAGGAGAGGTGGCAGACAGGCTGGGGAAGAGGAGAGGGAGGTCAGCAGTGGAAGGAGGGGACTGCCACCCCTCTGCATACCACCCTCCGCATCCTCTATACTCATTGAAAAATTCCTTCAGAAGCATAGAGTGCGTCCCTTTGACAACCACAAAGGGTCAATCCAGCCTCCAACACTAGTGAGCCAAGACAGAGACAACAATGCATAGATTTTTTGGTCCCAGGACATTGATGAAGTTACTTTGTAACAGAGGAAAATTTTGTTCACAAAAAGGAACACACAGGTTACCTTTGTACCTTCGGTGGCACAGCAGGAAACAGTGAGGGTCTAGGCTTCACTACTGCTGACCCACATGTTTTAAAAGAGACTTCCAAGGTATGAAAAGCCCTATCCCCCCCATGCCACCAGCTTTTAAACATTGTTTTTGGTCACTTGCTCTGGTGGATATAAGCATCCTTTACATACTAAACACTGCCAAAGAGCAACCGAGATGAGCCAGATTTAGTTCAGGCACCCGACACAACAGGGCTGAGGACAATCTAAGTACCTCTATTATTTCGTCACTGTTTTTTAAAAAAAGAACGTTATTCCAAATTAGTAATATGACTTTCTACCAGCAGATGGAGACAAAACCACCGGACTAGAGAGAAAAGTAGCCAGTTTCGGCAGCCCATTCTTAAGTAACAGCACCAAGAGGCACCAACGCAGCTTTCACTTGCGGCTAGCGTCTGCAGGAGCCAGTACTCCTCGGCAACGTAGAGCAAACACGCCTCAAGGCCCCCGTCCGACGCCCAACGGTTTGGCCCGGCTTTCTCGGCAGCCCTGCTCCCACACTGTTACCTTTAACGCTGAAAGCGGAGGGCTTACAACCAACTC